CGACATTTGCTCTCACACGCAGCACTTTCCTTGCTGTCTAGCTCCCGCACCCAGACAGTGGATGGCGCCGAGGTAGCGCCTGCAAAGCCCCGCAGAATGCGTACAAATACATTTCAAGGTGAATGATAACGAGCCGGGTGAGGCCCACCTCGCTCCAGAAAATCACGAAGTTCCTCAGCTCTTGTTGGTGTCAATGCTCGGCTCCATGCTCGCAGCACCGAACGCCGGATGTCGATGCTGCCTTCGGCCCATTGCATGATCACCTGCTGGAGGCTCTCTGCAAGCGTGGCCAACGCCTTTGATAGCACGTCCACATCTCCAATCCCTTCCAGGCTCCACTCCGATTTTACGTGGCTCAACTGGGCAACGAGGCTCCCGGTGCCGATGTGCTGTTTGAGAGATTCAAGCACCTTCTCGAAGGACTCATCGAACAATTTCCTGAAGCTTGTGAACTGCGACTGCGTGGCCGTGTGAAAGTAGCTTCGAGCGCCGAAGTCATGCCAGGTTATCTTCTTTGCACCCGTCGGGCTTGTCACCACCAGCAGATTCCCGAGGTGGTTGTCGTGCAAAAAGCCGAGGAAAGCCATCTTCCCGAGGTCCATGGTGTAGCCAGTCAGAAGGACCAGCAACTCCGAGATGCTCAGTTCCGAAATCACCGCGACAATGGGCATTGCTCGAGACGTGACCTCCACTTCCAGCTCAAAAGGAAGCGGCGAGTCTTTGTTAGAATGGCACCGTCCCGCAGGGTCGCCCGGTTCGCGGAAGCATAAGGGAAGAAGCGGCACCAATGTCGTGTCGTTAAAGCAATACGTGCACGATGCAGCAGGCCCCGCGATTTCGAACACCCATGCCATTGACCACTTGACTTTCTCACGCCAAAGCAATTCGGCATGGCTCTCCCCTTCCCGATGGATCGGTCGGATCGGCCGAGACCAATCCCGAGAAGAAAGCCAGAGCCACAAACCTGTCTTCAGCAGGCAAGTCAGCGAGGTGATTTTCGGGCAGCTGCAGTTGTGAACTTTGACGATCCAGGTGTGGCCGCAGCACTTCGAAAGCGTTCACGTACTTGTCGGAGTGGGCGCCACCCACAAATCGGACCCTAACGACAACGCGGCCAATGCCTGGGCAACGTGCGAATGTGATCGCGTTCCCCGCACCAGCAGCTCCGCTGCCGAAGTCGAAGTGACAGTTGAAATATGGCTGGAGGCTTTGGCAGGTGCCTTCGTCGCACTGGCCAGCGGCAGGTACGACGAGCAGCAGACTGACAAGCCCAATGCGGTTCCAAACCATGGCGCGAAAGTTGCTCTCAGCCAAAATTCTAAACGGTTTAGATGGTTTAGGGTATTGGGGTACCAAGGGTTTAGGGCATCCTGGGACAGAGTCGCAGACTCGGAAGGCCTTCCCGTCTAGTCCAGTCTAGCGACCTGTGGATATCTTGTGCTGAGCCGAATGAGTAGCCCTTTGACTCAAAAAGGGGCTAAATGTGCCAAATGACCACGCACACTGCGAACCACATGAAACAAAACGCCACGATTTGCGGAAAATGACAGCGCGCACATTTGAGCTTTGCTTTCGCATGCATGGGAAACAACTGCCAGTACTTAAAATACTTTTCTTCAAGGGGAGGTTCAGAGGCAAGGTGCCTGGGCCCGCAGGTTGAGCCGAGCTGCACAACGCTTCAGCACCTCTTCAGAGAAGGGGCAAAAACTCGAGCTTCAGAGCCCCCAAACCGCCAATCCCGACTGGCGTCTCCCACCCAGCAACCCCTGAAGCCCCGAACCACTACAGCCGGTTTCGGCAGGCGCAAACAACACGGCATACCAAGTGCCCTGCGTGCGTCTTGTCAGCGCGAGCGACGGCTCGGACGGGCAGCACACTCGGATCGACGATGCGGGGGGCTCGACGGGCGCTCAGCTCGGACGATGCGCTCGACGGACCAGGCTCGGGCTCGGCTCGGACGACGACGACGGTGACGGCGGCGGTGACCGTAACTTTACATGCATGGCCGATCGGGAGAGAACTACGGGGTGGGGGTGACAAGGCACTCGCAGGGCAGCTGTGGATCAAACCTACTGCGGGGACGAGGGGGTGTTGGGATGCCGTGAACCAAAAACCACACCCAAAAACAAAAGCAGACGAAAGCACTCAAACAAAATGGTACTGCGAACGTCGGCGAGCCCAACGAGACTACTGCCATGAACATGCCGCCGCTCCAAGCAA